CGGTTGAAGTGACTCAGTTCCATCTGCCTTGTTATGCTGCTGAGTCCAGACGCCCCCCTCCCCTCCCCTCCCCTCCCCCCTTAACCAGCTTTACCGTGTCCAATGCGTGTGTTGTGTGTTTGCTTGCAGAGCCTGCCTTTGGGGAGGTGAACCAGCTCGGCGGGGTGTTCGTGAATGGGAGACCCCTGCCCAATGCCATCAGGCTCCGGATTGTGGAACTGGCCCAACTGGGCATCCGACCCTGTGACATCAGCCGACAACTGCGGGTTTCCCATGGCTGTGTCAGCAAAATCTTGGCTCGCTACAACGAGACTGGCTCCATCCTACCCGGGGCGATCGGAGGCAGCAAGCCCCGGGTCACCACCCCCACGGTCGTGAAACACATCCGGACCTACAAACAAAGGGATCCCGGCATCTTCGCCTGGGAGATCCGGGATCGCCTGCTGGCAGACGGCGTGTGCGACAAATACAATGTGCCCTCCGTCAGCTCCATCAGCCGGATCCTCCGGAACAAAATTGGAAACCTTTCCCAGCAGAGTCACTACGACTCCTACAAACAGCACCAGCCGCCTCCCCAGCCCGCCCTGCCCTACAACCACATCTACTCCTACCCCAGCCCCATCGCGGCGGCGGGGGGCAAGGGGCCCACCCCCCCGGGGGTGCCAGCCATCCCCAGCGCCATGGCCATGCCGCGCACCTGGCCCTCCTCCCACTCGGTCACGGACATCCTGGGGATCCGGTCCATCACAGACCAAGGTAAGACACTGATCTGCCCGCATAGGAATAACACAGGACGCCAGAGGGGTCCCGAGCACCTCCTGTCCCCGAGGCAGGAACATTTCGGCGTCTTGTTTCAAAGCAGGAAGCTCCCGAGCTTAATTTCATGTATATTTCTCCGTAGCTTGAACTCTTTCATAGCTGGAACTCGCGTAGATCTCGAGTTCCAGCAGGCACGCAAGACTAAGATTAGATAAAGTAGCGCTTTAATATGCAGCCAGATCCTGTGGGATGGCTCACCCCCATCCCTCTTACGTTAGTCCCTAGCTCGGGCACTGTATTTCCCTTATGGCTTTGTCATCTTTTCTGTGGTTGAGACATACAACGTGTCTATACAGCGGTGATACTACTAATACTACCACTAACACTATTAATACTAATGATCTGCCAATGGCAGTTTCGTTGGAAGACAGACAAGGTAGACTAAAGAAAACGACCCATGCTGGCAAACTGTATCTGTCTCAGGCCTGCGCACACGTGGATCTGTGTGCGGCTTCCCTATCACTAAGTAATCCCATCCTGACCTTGCATAGCGCTGTGTATGATACATATTCGTTACCCAATCAGGCACTGAGCAGTCAAGGCATCTTCTGGAAATGAGGGAGAAATTCACTTCTCTCGTTTTCGCAATCAGGCCAAATTTGCTCAGACAGGAAGTTCAAATGTCACCTAATTGCTCTCATTCTTACGCTTTATTTTGTTTTCCTCCGAAGTGGTGGTCCAGAAAAGCGAAACCACTAGTATTTAACTTGTGTTTTACTCTATCCAAAAGCCTCCTTTTCTTCTACGATCCCTCTTTTATCCCGGCTTAAAAACATTAGCTCCTAGCTGACCGGGTCCCTAGACTTTGCGGCAAAAAAAGAACAGGTTTAGTCTTTGTCACTTCACTACTCAGTGCGATTAAAACAACATTGGAAAACTACCCTTAGCCCTCGCTATCACGGTCGCTTCCATCCAGTAGAGCCGGGGATCCGATTTCTGTTCTCATTGCCTGTTTTTAACCACACGATCTGGCTGCACACATTAAAGCGCTTTGCAGCTACCGAGGGGAAAGAAATCTTTTTTAGGCGTAGTAAAATACTGGCCAGTAATTCTGTAAAAGAGGCGGTCGGGATGTCCAAGGGGAGGGGGAGTCCTTCCCGTTTGGCACTCAGATCCAATGCCCGACCCCCAGAAGCCCAAACTCGGAGCAAACAAATTTGCGTGTGGAGCTGAACTTAGACGCTCCCCACGGCAGGGACTGCTCGTTTCGGGCTGGATGGAATGTTTGAAATGAACATTACAAGGAAAATTAAATTAGAAATTGAGAGGCTTTTAATGATTTCCTCCTTTATTAACACCACATTGGCAACAAGGCCTCTCCTGGTACCACGGAGTGTCTGGATTTCTTTCCTCCTCTGTCTCAGGCTCCGGGATTTACAAGAATCTCTGCAGTAGGAATTCGCCTCCTCCCTTAGCCCAAGCTGGGAAGACTGAGCAGCAGAAGCTGCAGATGAGGGTTGTTTGCCCTTGATTTATAGGATAAACTGACCTTGGTGACACTGAAAGGAAACCCCTATTCGTGGGAAAGTGTGAGATCAGCAGAAACGGGGGCTCGAGGAGAGAGCTGAGTTTCTTAAGACAACTTCAGGTTTGGGCCCAGGGAGCGAGGAGGTGACAGAAGTGCTTTGAGAACAGAAACCGAGTCCCGTGGGAGCCCACCCCCCTCCTCCCACCAGCCGTGCTGGGCAGGGCAGGGCAGGGAAGGGCAGGGCAGGGGCCGGGTCCCCCCGGGTCCCCCCCCGGCAAGGCCGGCCGCTCTCACCAGGCGGCGGAGACATTTGTCCCGCGTGCCCGTGTTCCCACTCCTGCTGGGCCGAGCTGCTCGTCCCGAGCGGAGAAAGACTTCCCCAGCCTGCAGCAGCGCCAGGGGTGTTTGCAAGCGCGATCTCGTTTACTTCTGGGGGAGGGTGGTGGGGTGGGATCCATTCTTTCGTTACACCCACCTTGGAAATCATTATGTCAAAGACCCAGTTCTCCCGCGCAGTTTTCTCCTCTAAATTACGTGCTGTCAAGGGAAGGTGCTGACGACCGAATCGAAGCGGCCCGAGGGCTGGTGCTAATCGCTTTATCCCGTCTCATTTGCTTCGTGTGTCCACGCGCTGCGTCCCCGGAAACGCGGAAGGGGCTTCTCCCCTGCCCCGGCCCGGCGCCGGCGATCAGCCCCGCTGCATCGCTCTGCGGCTCCCGCCTGGCCATTTCACCGCCCTTCCCAGCTCGCAGCCCCGCGCGGCCGGGCCCCGCT